TTTTTAAATATAAAAATATATTTATTATTTACATTTATTTATTTAATATCACAATTCACAAAAAAAATCACATCATATTTATTTAATAATCATATTTATTTAATAATATATTATAATTATAATATTATCATTTTAGAAAACATTTTTATATAACATATAAATTACAATTAAAAATATTTTATGATCAAATAAAATTATTCAATAAAAATTATGTATTAAAAAATTTAATAACTATTAATATACACTTCATAAAAAATACTATTTAAAGATATGTGCAGTATTAGTTTAAAATTAATTTTATAAATATATTCATAAAGGAGGTACGGAGTACCATGATATCCCTAACCAAAAAAAATAATTATTTATAGTTTTATTCTAGCGTCGAAAAAAAAAAAAGTTAAATGCAGGGATCACGGAAATTATACCAACTAATCGAGGACAAAACGGGAAGTAGAGCCAGTCAAATGAAGGGGTAGCATTGAAATGAAGAAGAACCGGTCTCGTCCCCGAGAGGACAGTGGTACCCCCGTCATTTGCGGCCCTGTTTATAGCTGTGCAACCCTCCGTTTAAAGCACATCTTTTTCTGACTCTCTCCTCCAATTTCTTCTCCTTTCCCTTTTCATACTTGACCAGATTATCCATTTTTCTCCAAGAAAAAAAAAATCAAAATCAAAATCAAAATCAAAATCATCAAGCAATGCCTGCGACGACAGATAACCCAGGATCTTTCCTGGGTCGCATCAGCATCCGCCGTAATCAAGTTATCGCCATGGAAGCCAACGATCAAGAACTCGAGGACCTTGAGCTTTTCCAGAAGCACGTTGGTGATCGCTTTGCGGAACTCCTCACTGCGTCCGATGAACCCTCCTCTGCTGATGCTCTCCTTTCCATATCTTGGCTTCGAAGACTCCTCGATATGTTCCTCTGTTGCGAGGCTGAGTTTAAGGCCCTCGTCATCATGGGTCGGGACCCTTCTCAGATTGTCAAACCCCCTCTTGATCGTTTGATTCCGGAGCTCCTCGAACGCGCGGTGAAGGCGCTGGACATCTGTAATGCAGTTACCAGTGGGATTGAGGCTGTCAGACATTGCCAGAAATTGGCAGAGATTGCTGTCTCTGCTTTGGAACAGAGGCCTATCGGCGACGGACAGGTTAGGAGGGCGAGAAAGCCGTTGAATTCGCTGATGGTGGCAATGACCATCGATGACAAAGAGGGCGGCAATAACCGGACTACGGAGAGAGCCTGGTCTTTTGGCCGTAGAGGCGGTGGCGCAGCGAATAAGGATCGTCCCCTGGGGCATTTTCGGTCACTTGCAGGACAAGTAGCGAAGAATTGGTCTGCGGCGAAGCAGATTCAGGCGATGACTAACAATTTGGTTGCCCCTCGTGGGGCGGATGCGTCTGGTTTGGCTTCACCGGTGTATGTAATGAGTACTGTGATCGTTTTTGTGATGTGGGCATTGGTGGCTGCAATCCCCTGTCAAGAGAGGACCGGTCTGACTACTCATTTCCCGGTACCAAAGCAGTTGGGTTGGGCGCATAGTTTGATAGGGCTGCAGGAGAAGATTGCTGAGGAATTGAAGAAGAAAGAGAAAAAGGGAACTGCTGGGTTGCTAGATGAAATGCAGAGGATGGAGAAACTGGCGCAGAGTTTGAGCGAGTTTACAGATTCTTTTCAATTTCCAGGGGAGACTGAGAAGGTGGAGGAGGCAGCGACTCAGGCAACAGAGCTAGGGGAGATTTGCCACAGGATGGAGGAGGGACTGGTGCCTTTGCAGCTGCAGATTAGGGAGGTGTTCCATAGGATTGTGAGGAGCAGGACAGAGTTCCTTGAAGTGTTGGACCAGGCCGGAAAAGCCTCTGCACCGGTTGCATAACATGGTCGGTCCATCTCTAGCCTCTAAATTTTGAGGGATTTTCAAGGGTCTTTAATCTCTTTGAAGATGGTGTAAATGAAGCTACAACTTTTCAGGATTCTGACATTAGTTTAATCTTCCTTTTAAAGTACAAAGTCATGGGGGTGTTTTAGTTTGTATTCCTTATTGGAAATGTACACATTTTTCCTTGTAATTTTTCTGGGTTTCGTGTTTACATGATAACTATCATTTGATTACAGGAGCTTTTGTTTAGAGAGAAACGTAAATACAAAAAACTGTAACCTTGTTGTATTTTGGGCAAGAACTTCTCCCTTTGGAGAAAGGTTTAATGTATATTGAATTAGTAGAGTCAAGGCTAAAATCTGCTCTGCACAATTTCAGTTGTCATCTTTATTAATTTCCTTTAAAGTCATATCTTTTAAAATCATTTGGTAAATAATTAAATAAAATACGGAAAGGTACTCGTTACGTGTACTTAATATCTTGGTAATAATTGAAATTTAAATCATGACTTTTGCTATACTATAATTTCCCGTCTTCCATCCTCTATTTCAAATTGTACATGTTTAAAAAATAAATAAATAAAATGATAGAAAGAAAACAAAAGCAGAGACAGGCAAACTAGAGAAGGATGTCAATAGCTGTTTGACAAATTTTTTTCCATTGCAAAGAGCCAAAGATTGGTTGATGACTCTGAAATCCTTTCCTGCTTTAAGGTTATTTGTTTGCTGCCAACTCTTTGCCGTCATAAACACCCAAACAGATCTGTCTAAAAACAACCTTTAACTTCAAAGCAAATTGTGAGTTGTGAAATGCCAGATAGATGGTGAAAGCGTGATTTTCAACGAAAAAAAAAAAATGACGCTATTGGGATAAATTTTTTATTTTATCATTTTATATAATTTTTACATATTATTAAATGAATAGATGTATTTAAGATTATAGATATCATATGAATTAAAAAAATCAATCATTTTAATGATACATCAAGTTGTACAAAAAGATAAAATAAAATAATTGTTTCACTAGCATTTTCCCACAAAAAAAAAAAAAGCAACAGGTCAAAGATTCTACACATTTTTCGCAGGATCTATTTTGATTAACTTGAGATGATTATATCTAAGGATGGAAATTATAATGAAAAGCAAACAACCAACATACTAATGTTCTGTCATGAATGAAGCAAACGCGTATCCAATATAAGACGCTCCAGATCATAACCCTTGACAATTAAAATTAGAAAATTCTCTCCTAGCTAATGGGGTTTTGATTTAGATCTTAAAAGGTTTTTAAGTTCAAACCCTCTATTTTACTTCTTTTTTTTTTAAAAAAAAAGAACACATTTCTTCATTTGAATCTTAAAAGGTTTTAAGTTCTTAAGATCTTAATTTCAAATCCTTTACTTTACTGTTAAAAAAAAAAGAAAAATATTTTTTCATCAGCAACTCCTAAATTTTTTGTCTTGTTTGAAATGGCATTTTATAAGATATCTATATTTTCTAAATAATATTATATTAAATTATAAAATAAATATTATTAAAAATATAAGTCTCAATATCAAAGCCTGTACCTTCGTTTAGTGATTTAAATTATGTAATTTAATTTTTTTTATCTCTTTTTTTTTTTTTCCCCGGGTGGGGTATGCAAACTCTAATAAGTATAGCATTTACTAATTAAAGCCTCACCTTGATTGTAACCATTGATAATGAGTCAAGGA